TCCCATCTACAGTTTATAACTGTTCCTCTACAAAATAATGGGAAATAGCTTTAAATTCAGTTCGTTCAGGGTGAATTGAAAAAGCCACAATATTATATTTTCTCATCTTCTAAAAAGAGAAATTAGTGAGGGAAGAATTCTCTTATACGAGTCGGTCCAGTCAGAGTCAAATGAATCTGGTCTCTCTGGCCATTTTTCTCTTTTGGAAATCGTCCTAGGATTCTGACTTTCACATCTCACAATTCAATAGTCCTACTCTGCTATTTGTATCCTCGTCTGTCCTCCATGGGTCACGGTGTGTGTACATCTCACTCAAGTCAGGAAACTTGTCAGAATGCCCATATTTGATTGGCTGAGCTTTATCACGTGATGTGATTCACAACGCATTGGTCGGTGTTTTTCCTGCACCGCTGAACAAGTGGCGTAAATGCTGGAATAAATGTGCTGCATAAAAAATGCCCTCCAAAATAAAATCACAACCTTTTTTTTTTTCCTTTTCCTTTCTTTTTTGTCAGGCAAAGGCCTGAAAACAACCCACTGAAAACGGACCCACCAGTTGAGAATCACTGTTGTAGAAGACCCTCATCAGTAGTTACCCTTAAACAACAACTTAAATATCCCTTAAGATAACGCAGTTGTTCAGTATGCGATTCAGAAGGTACGCAGCTTTGTTGAAATTGAATGGGTGTCAAAACATCTGTCAAACAGTAAAGTATTTACTGGTTTTAAAAGTAGTCCATTTTGGCAGTTGCTTAGAACTGGAGGAGGTCAAAGCCATTGATCAGGAACTGTATCACTGTCTCTACCAGAGGAGACCACGTTACATTGACCTAACCATGAACACTTTTAAGGCTTTCCTACAGATGGGTGTGCTGCAACATAACTGGCTCTTACTGGTCAAATTGACACACGTAAACGCATGATGGTTTTACGTCGTGTACACAAAAGCATGCAGTTCGCACACACAGCTGCGGCACATAGTAGAGCCACACACACACTGTGTCATTGCTGTGGAAGTTCTTCAGCGTGAGTGAGGAAGAAATAACCTGCAAGTCATACATAAGCAGTGGAGGAACAACCCTAAAACCAAGGTTTAAGGTCTAGTAACTTGTAAAGAAAAATGTATTTATTTAATAGTCAATGTTTAATTATGAACCCACAATTGAATTTCAATTTTCCATGAAAGAAAAGTTACAAATATGTCACTTATAGTTCTCAGAAAGAATCAAAAATGGAATAGGTGTTTTAAAAAATCCGGATCAGTCAAGCAAATTGCAATCAGGTCATCTTTAGTACTTTGTTCTATAAACATGCAAAGGACTACATGCGTCTGTCATAGGAGGAGAGATTTGTCTGTACTCACATATTTGAGAATGATATCTCCTACACTCCTGTCCTCTGACCAGTCCGTCAGCAGCTCCTGAAGGTGACCCTGAAGAACAAAGCAACCATCACACACAGAAAAGAACAAAGACCACACCACCAGGTTTTGGATGGAAACAGCTGAGGACTCTACCTTTATTCTAGTGTGAACATCGTAGATTTCTGGGATGCTGCCAAATATTGTCTTCATTTCTTCTTGAGCCAGGATGGGTCCACCCACCTGCCCCTCTTTCTCCAATGGAAGCTTGAAAAGCTTAAAAAAAAGAAAAAATAGAAACATTAAAATGTTCCACAAAATTGCATAAAACGAATTACATCAATGAGCAATAATCAGTGTGTAGTAAAGTAAGATCCCCAAAGAACATATTAATGATGCTGTACAGTGTTTTTACAAGACATACTAGCCTTATGCGTTGATTCCTTCAGTTGATAATAATAATAATACATTTAAAGTTGTATAGCTCTTTAAAAAGGGTACTCAAATGCACTTTACATGACATAACAGTAAGGAACAGCACAAAAACAAACAAAACTAGCTTCACAGGTTAAAAGCAGATTTAAATAGGTGAGTTTTAAGTGCAGTTTTGAAAGTGTCGAGTGACGGAGAATGTCTGAGGTGCTGGGGGAGGGAGTTACAGAAGGAGGGGGCAGCAATAGAGAAGGCCCTGTCCCCCCAGGTCTGATGCTTGGACAGAGTAGGGGGGGTAAGGAGGTTGGCGTCGGCGGATCTGAGGTTGTGGAGAAGAAGAGGGAGGGGCGTAGACGGGCAATGTTTTTGAGATGAAAGAAGGCATTTTTTGTGATGTGATTGACGTTTCGTTCAAAGGAGAGAGTTTAATCAAAAATGAGACCACGGTTATGAGCATGTGTGGAAGCAGGAACAGTGCTGCCATCAATGCAGAGGGAGAAGTTGTGGTGGGATTTGTTTAGTGATTTGGGGCCAATGATGAGGATTTCAGATTTGAAGAAGTTGGCTTGCATCCAGGTCTTTATGTCTTTGAGGCAGTTGGTAATGGTGGAGTGGGTGGTGGGGGTGATGGATTTGGTGGAGATGTAGAGCTGGGTGTTGTCAGCACAGCAGTGGAAATGGAGACCATGGTGGCGTATGATGTCGCTAATGGGAAGCAGGTAGAGGATGAAGAGGGGGTGACTACTGAACCTTGGGGGACACCTTGAGATACTGTGTTAGACTTGAATTTATTGATACTAATGAACTGTTCATGGTCGGAGAGGTATGATTTGAACCAGGAGAGGGCTGTCCCAGTAATGTGGAGGGAGGACTCGAGACGGGAAAGGAGGATGAGTCAAGTGGCCAGTTGGTTGTAGATGGTTTACATTTTTGCTTTGTAGAATGACAGGAAGGAGTTACATTTCTCTGCTGTGGAAAAGTGGGAGAGATTGTCCATAGGTTTGAGGAGTTTGAGAGCAAGCCAGGGTGTGTGTACCGTGAGGCCGGTTTTGTTGGAGAGTCGCTCTAGTCTGCGTTTCCAGGATTGCATGAGGCGGAGTTCAAGGGTGAACCAGGGAGCAGTGTGGGGGAAAGAGACAGTTCTGGCTTTGAGAGGGGCAAGCTGATCAAGGCAGGAGGATAGTGTGTTATTGTAGAGGTTGATCAGGTCTGTGGGGGAGGGGCTAAAGGAGGGGGGTGAGTGTGGAGAGTTTGTCAGTGAGACAGGCTGACAAGAATGAGGGGCAGACGGACTTGATATTACAGAGAGTGATGGTGCTCTGGGATGGGGTTGTCGATCTCCATGATGATAGCTAGGTGGTTGGAGACGGTGGGGTCAGAGCCGGAGAGGTGGTGGATGGTGATTCCAGTAGAACAGATCAGGTCCAGGATGTGACCGCAGTTGTGGGTCAGTCAACAAGATGTTAGCATCGGAGATCGGTTTCAAAACTATAGTCCAGACCAAACGACCCCATAGAGACAGACGGGTAACGACCCCATAGAGACAGACGGGTAACGACCCCATAGAGACAGACGGGTAACGACCCCATAGAGACAGACGGGTAACGACACCATAGAGACAGACGGGTAAAGACCCCATAGAGACAGACGGGTAAAGACCCCATAGAGACAGACTGCTCATTCATTAGATAGTTTTGGAGCTGGAATCTGTGAAACATGGAATAACAGACTGCCGTAGTCATGCATCTCTTTAGAGCATTTGGTCTTCCGTATTGCTTCAACGTTCTTGTGGTAAAATAACTGATCATAAGGACTCCATAATATCACAAATATAGAAGAACGGATAGAAACAGGATGAAATAAGCCGATTTATCACGATGTTAGGAGGATCATGCTTATTTTGCCTTCTGTTTTAACTGAAGTAATCAACAGCACTACGACTCATGTCGAGCGTGCAGTGATTATTCAACTGTGTTCAATGGCACAGTAATGAAGCTACGACTGCATGCTTGGGGTTCGTTTTTAGGATTCATGACAGAAGAGAAGCTTTTATTCCTATTTTTAGTTCAAAGCTTTTTGTGAGGACAGAGAACAGTTAAACCCAGGAGTATACAATACAGAAGACAGATTACAAGAGAGGGAGATGGCAAAACTTGAGGCAGAAGGAGAAAGAGTGACTGAAAAGGACATCAAAATGGAGGAAGTTGAAGAAAGATAAAAGAAAAAGCAGAAAGAGGAAAAGATTTTGAACAGAGGGAGACAAAAAGAGAAATGGTCAGGCAGGTAATTTTCTCCCTCAACGGTCAGCTGGGACCAACAAACACACACCTTAAATGACTGTCGCTTAGCCTCAAACTGTTGTCAGGGCAACCAGCTGGCCAACCTGTGAGGGAGCGTTAATTGTCCACATAGACACACAGACAGTACCTGTATGATGGTGCTCAAAATGTCCACATAGTTGCTCTCAGTCTGGTAGAGCTCCTTGGAGACCTGCCACCTGGCTGACTGCTTGGACAGAACCGGAGTCGAGCTCTTGGATGGCTTTGAACTATCTGGAGGAGCAAGACGGGCAGGGAGGAGAGACAGTTGTTAATAGAGCACTGAAGCAAGCACAGACACCGCCACGTGTCAGTCCACTGATCCAATGAAATTAGGGCTGAATCAAAGTAGAACATTTGACTGAATATTCTCGACCTGGGGAGTCAAGATGACAGCATCGCTGCTGTTCTGGAACGCTGACTCCAAGACATGGTCAGTGATTGAGGGGATGTCTGTTGACTTATATACTATAGATAGTATAGGCATGCAGTAGGGTTAGGGATCAACAGCATTCCATCTAATCCGTTTACAGCGTGAAACCTGCTTTCAAATTCTAATCATTTTGTATCCCTCATGGAATCTAATGAGGATAAACTCTGATCAAGTAACTACAAAAGTAACTACAGTTATATGTAACTAAGAAATTGATGAATTGTATATATTGATGATCAGCTCCATCATGAAGTCATTAACAAACTACAAACAGTAACCAGATACCAGCAGCTGGTACAGATACCAGCTTGCAGACAGCACATTGACCAATCAACAGCCAAATGTCTAATACAAGCATTACTATATAAACTAAATAAGTCTGTTACAGTCTGATGACAATTAAGGTTTGTCATCTCAACCAGTCTAAGCAATATAACTCATATTCAACATCGTAGACCAACACTAATTCATGCTAGCAATACTATGTCTTTAACTAAGTAAACAATTATCTCTCCTGGAAGTCAAATTCAAGAAGAAATGTAACAATATAATGAATTTTCCAACGTGGAACTGAACCCGTTCGTCATGCTTTGCTTTATACCTGTAAAAGGTGCTACGCCACCTGTTGGATGAGAGAAAAAAGGTCTGCAAGCTCCTCAGAAGGTGCTGTATTCTCAGAACACTCCGAGTACAAGACTTGTTGTGTCAGCTCAGGGGTCCATGTTCAGGTTTGTACTGCTGGCAAGCAGCTGGCAACTGAAAAGCTATTCTGTTCCAGCTCCATTGGTAAAACTGATGAATGGCTTATTTATCGTTACCACAGAGATCTCTCATCCTTACAACAACTACTTTATATCAGCCTTGAGTTGGCTCGTTACTGTGGTACTCTTGAAGCAGAACCTGACCTGTAGAAGTTCCTGGCTGCTGCTCCTCTGGTTGCTGAAGAGTACCCAGGTAGGACCTCCTCCTGTCTTCCCTGTCTGTCCTCCTCCTTTCCCTGGTTCTCCTCCTTCTCATCCTATCCCTGGTCACAGTACTGTCTCCTTTGCTCTCTGAACTCTTCCCTACTCTGTCTTCTGAAATTAAGAGGGAATTGTCTGGTTACTGTAATCTTAAAGAACAATCAACCATAGTAACAGAAGAGAATATCGTCTCAGTTAGTGTTTCTCTGAGAACACCAACAACCAAAAAAGTTACAAAATGACACATTGTAGCATTATACAGCCTATATACTGACAATTTAATGACAAGTCTCTCAATTTGTTGATCCTTATAGGCTTTTCATCTGGGTCAGAATGTTGTCCAGGGACCAGTTCACAATCTGCATTTTTCCTTTTCAAATATTTCTCCATCGCTGTTCGGTTTGTCACCACAACCTCTACCGCACATCATTTAATACTACCAAATGAACAAAGTCATAATTGCGTTACCTACTGTCACCCACTGGCATGGAAGAGTATTTATTACTTAGCCAGCCACTATATTGCAGCTCAGACGCTCAATAATTGCAAATTATTTGCAGCAACTAAATAATAATTTTTTGGACCGATTAAGTGAAATTGGACATTTTCTCACGGCACACCTGACGATCTCTCACGGCACACTGGTTGAAAACCACTGGTCTAAGTTACTGCATTTTCCATATACACATATGTGTCTCAGTGGTAGAGCAGTGTCGTCCTTCAATCAGAGGATCGGCGGTTCGATCCCCGGTTCCGCTAGTCACATGTCGATGTGTCCTTGGGCAAGACGCCGTGCCTACGGTGTGTGAATGTGGTATAAATGTTAGTTAGTCCTGATTCATGAATGGGTGAATGATGACAAGTCGTGTGAAAGCGCTTTGAGTGGTCGGAAAGACTAGAAAAGACTATACAAGTACAGTCCATTTACCATTTACCAATTAACTGTCAACCAGAAGGAAAAAGGTTTTAGGGTTGGATCGAACAGTTGTTTTCCAGTCCATCATTCTTTCTTACCTGCCAAGGCCTTGCATGTCTCAGGGGTATTAGAGATGTCCAGCAGAGACCCGATGGACAGGGAGTGCTCTGCTGACGGCCTTTTGCGTGGCGGAGGGAAGGGGGAGATCTCTGTCTCGTTGGTGAACTGAGCCAGCGTGTCCCTGAGGCGCCGACGCTTGCGATTACTGTTGGGGGTGGTGAGGGACAGGAGGGACACTGCCTTCTTCATGGCGGGGCTGTCGTTCTGAAGTACAGTGGGACAGAGATATTAAATATATAAGGACAAGACCAATACAGGTTCAGTGAACAAAATGCAAACAAGCTGCATGTCTCGTAAATGATGATGATGGGGGAAAATGAACACCTTGAATCAAAACCTTTTTACAACCAATACAATCATCTGTTGGACAGTGAGGTAGCCACACAGACAAATGACGCGTTTTTTCTTTTATGTGTAACTTCTGATTCCTGATTGTGTAATGCTGTCGCTTTGGCTAAAATGGATCTTGACCTCAAATGGTGAATTCTTGCTTTAAGGGTGGGGTAACTCGTATTAGGTCTCTTTCTTCAGCTGGATAGTGCAATCTTAGAAGTCTTGGCGTTATGTTTGACCAGTCTATAGACTTTGATCTACACATCAAGTCATTGACCCGTACATGTTTCTTGCATCTTTAAATCGTTGCCAAACCCAGAGACTAGAGATGGTTCACTCTCTATATCATCCTAGGTTGACTACAGGAATTCCCTTTGCACTTGTCTAAGCAAGTTGTCTCTGAACTGGCTACAAATGGTCCAGAACATCTGCTGCAAGGCTGTTCACCAGGTCCGGTAGGAAGACTCACATCACACCCATCTTGTTTTCTTTACACTGGCTTTCCATCCAATTCAGGTTTTAGTTTTCACACATAGAGCTCTGCGTACATGTGTTGCCTGCTCCATGCCTATATCACGAGTAGGTCACCTACTGGTTGTCCCTCGTGCCATTAGAGTGGTAGCTTGACACTGGAATGCTTTTCCTGTAGATATTAGATGTGCGGTCTCTGTTGATGCCTTTAAAAATGAGCTGACAACTCCCTTATTTAAACTTCTGTGGGTCACCTTGTGCTGTCTGGTGTTTGTAATTTTGCAATGTGTTTGCTTATGTGTTATGGATTGTTTTATTGTTGTTTTTAATTTGATGGTGTAATTTCTAAAATAATTGATTCTAGTAAAGCCCTTTGTGACCGTGTTCTATGGATGGTGCTATACTACATTCAAATGTCTTGCTTGTGTGAAGTATCCTTTAGGTGAGAGTCCATGCATTTGGCTTGAATTACTACACACACGTACATTAACATGAACCATAATACACTTACCTTCTCGTAGAAGTACATGGACTCTCCGGCCCGAGCGTCCATCTGAATGCTGCCCCAGAACCACTACCACAGAAGAGAGAAAACTGTTTTTACCATCCCCGTGGGTTAGGATAGAGGTATATAAAAAAAGATTTCTGAAACTGATGACAGACTTTCCTTTGAAAACCAATAAAAGTGACTGAGTAAAGAAAAGGCCATATTGATTGCAGGGTTATAACTACACCTAAACTACCGTTGCTCAAATTGTTCATCCACTGGAATGGGGAAATCTATTATTGATCCCTCTCTCTGACAGCACAGACAGAGAGAGGGGGGTAGAGACTGTATCCATTGAGCTTTCCTCTAAAAAGGAATCCTGTGCAATTGATCATTTGGCATTCTGTGTAGGAGGAGAAAAACTGAGAGGATTCATTATTTTCCTCTTGTCCCCCTTGTGTCTGTATCTTCCTGTAGCAAAACAGTTATCCTGTTATGACAAGATGGTGCTTGACCAGTACTGCAGGTGTCAAGCGTTCTTTTCTTTGGTAGCACTGAAACAAACTCAAAAAAAGAAACCCTACCTACCTCCTGTTTGACCACATAGAGTTTCTTGGGAGAAAATGGCAGCTCCTTTACTGAGTTTTCCTCCACCACCATGTGTGTACACCTCTCATCTCCAACCTGAAGAGAACTGCCACCTTAGACACAGAAAACCAGGGGGATGATGATGAAAACATATGTATGGATCAGCTTTACTAATTGTAATTTAGGTGCGAGTGTCTTCAATCAGAACTAACCCTCTTTCTCAAACAGCAGTTATCCAATTATAGCATAAAGATTGTAACTGGGGGCAGCAGGACTAACACTTTGTATTTCCCAACATGATGAGTCTGCATTGGGCTCTAGTAAGAACATAGTCAGTATCCAAAGAGTTTTCAAAAAGCCCAAATAAAAGTGAAGAAGTGTACAAAACAAAGTCTACGCACTGTAAATTGCGTGACTGGCAAAAAAGAAGAAAAAGAAGAAGAAAAGCTGCTGCATGGCTGCCATGACAGATCCCCGTGTGCTGCAGCACTCACCGTGTTTCAGAGTCCTCTCCTCCATGTTGGCCTTCTCTTCATCTGAAAAACCCAAAAAACTGAGGATGCAGTCCTGGAACGGAGGCACTTTGAACTCCGTTCGAAACTCCTCTTCTCCTGCGCAAAAGTGCCTTAACACATGAAGGTGGGAGGAACAAGGTTACCATCAATACTACCATGACATCATTCCTGTAACTGGGTTCGGGTTTACCGTAAACATATTTTTTTTGATTTAAGAAAATATTTGCCCTGTTTTTATAAATTGTAAAAACTTCATGGACGGACAGTTAGAAAGTGTGGCCAGACCAGGGGCCAGCGGTCTGATCCTGGACCGTCCCGACTACCCACCGGATCAGCAAACCTTCCGTTGCGGCTTGCAAATCTAATTTGCCGATCATTAATTGTTATCCGACAAGATAAGTGCCTTACATGCATATTTGTCTGTGAGGAGATGCTACCACTCCTCAAGAACCCTCTTGCTACCTGCTAAATACAGGGAAGGGGGTTAGCCCCGGAGTTAGCGGCCCAAGCTCACTTAAGGTGGACTAACTGGCCACTCCTCTGAGTTTTGCTCAGCCTTTTAATTTGAATTTCTTTTAAACGTTTAACTGATAACAATAATCAGTCATAATTATTGTTGATTATTAACATTCCTAGTTGCCACTGCTGTGAGGTTTACGCTGGCTGAATTTGAGTTTCTACAGCTGCTAACTGAAGGTCCGTCACCGGAGCCATCCTCTCTTCCTGGAGATATTGATGTTTATTCCCATAAAACCTTTTGTCAGACTTCCGCCATAAAATGTCGTTATTTCAGAAAAACAGGGCAGATATGCATTACGCCTCCGTATAGATCAAGCGTTTATTGTAAATGGCATTTTTCAATGTCAATTCCATTCATCACTTAACAGAAAACTGACTTTGTAGTAACTATCCTAAAGGAGTAAAATGAGAAATATAAAAAAATGAAAAGAAAACTGTTGTACTGTATAAATAAACTAATAATAGTCTGTGATTCAATCAAAAGTTATTTCTAAACATGTATTAACTGCAACAATAATACAATGACCTAATTAGCTAAATACATCCTGTATCTTGGTCAGAACTTCACATAACCTGAACCTTTAAGAATCTTGTGGAGCTTAGGTACTAGCTTTGTCTTGCGTTTCCACTATTTTTCACAAGGGCTTCAAAGCGGATCACTTTTTATATTTCCTCCGAGTTTGGTACGCAGCTGTGGACAGATAATGTTTTGTGTAGTGCAGATGTTTCTGTTTTCTTGACCAGGAGATGCACATTTAAATGACAACAGTGAATCTAGAGCAGGCCGGTAGGTGGCTGACAATTTCATTTGTCCGCAAAGTGTTTTCTCTTTGAATCAGTTGTCTTTGCTGGAAAAAGAAATGAGTCAAATGGTAGTTACTGTACTTGTTCAGCACTGCAGCTACCCTTAAAAGTACCCAAAACATAGCCAAATCCAAGTTATTTAGAAGTTGCTAATACCAAGTCCAACACTGCCAGTATGATTACAGAGAGGCGGAATATACTCATTGTACATTGATATTACAGAGCGGAGTTTCTTCCCTCACAAATAATCCAACCCTGAGAACAAATGCCGGCTGGCAGAGAGGACACAAAGCACACAACAGTTTGACTTCAGCCTGCCATCAACAGCAGATGACCAGCCACCACTTATCATTTTAACCAGTGAAAGATATAGTCAGTGGCAAAAATGAGAAGCTGCTACCTGAACCGTGTATTTCATTGCCAACCTGGACGCAGCCTTCCCCACAACAGTGAGGCAAAATAACTTTTCACACTCACACAGAGATTTTTTTTCATTCTCACACGCAGGGAAAGCTTGCATTGTAGAGATTGACTGTCATAAAGGAGAGCAGCTTTGAATGATACATAAGCTTGCTTCTTTCCTTCCTTCTACTTACACTTCATCTCTTCTCTCCCAGGCCTTATGAATCCATGATGGAGTCAGAATGGGCGTCCCCATGCACACTGCCAGCTGAGAGATGGGACACAGGAAGACATAGTAAAGAGAGGAGGAAAAGAAAACACAAATGAGTAAGTAAATAAAACTCCATGTAATTCCACTGTCAGTGCTCTCAGTACAACAACCCCCATCGTCTGTTTTTTACTCCTGATCAGAATCACAATACACATTTGGCAGGAACAAACACTTCTCACTTTGGGCACTGTACAAAAACAAGTATGAGTGGCTGAATCCTCCTTGTATGTCTTTAAAGCGCTGCACTTTCAAATGTAAAGCAGCCTTGACTGCCTGTCACACATTGGCCTGGCATTTTGTCTTGTTGAGCTTCAACAAAATACATCTTCAATACGTTGAAAGAGTAAAGGTAATAACTGAGAGGAGGGAGAGGAAGAAAAAAGACGAAAAGATCATTGCCATCCATCTATCTTAGTGTATCTCGAAAGAGGAGGTAGCCCTACCGGTCTCTCCCCTTCACATCCCTTCTAGGTTCTTATTTAAATACACTCTTACACTACATCTCACTTGTTTACAGTCCCGTTATCGGTTCGCTTGTGCACTTTAATTTATATTTCACTTTATTTTATATTTTTCTGTAAACTTTAATATGTTTTCTACTTTTTGCACTGTGTTGATTGATAAACGCTTCTGATTCTGATGTATTGAAGTCAGTTAAAAAAAAGGATTCAAGTGGCAATAGATTCGATTGTGTAGCTTGAACTTATCATTATGAAGAGATTGTTGATTGCACAGTGATGGAGATAGAATAATGACACCATCTGCGTTTAGATTGGTTCCCTATGAGATACGCTTTCACTGTGCAGTTGTGTTTAGTAGGAACTCCTGGGAAAATGAAGCTGCATTTATGCACAACCAAGGAGGATAGCACTTTTGTTTTCCCCGGTAGCTATCCTCAGATAGCGGAACTGGTGCATGGTGGAACAACCAGAGTAATTACTATTACATTACTACTGTGTTCTTCATAAAGTGTGGCAAAAGATAAAGAGCCTCGCTGACGGAGGAGGCAAAAAATGTGATTAAATCAAAGTAAAACATTTGAGAAGGTTACAAGGTTACGGGTCACTTTGTCTTCTTATTTTCTGAATTTGGCTAAACATTCTTGGAATTTTAACAATTCAAAATGACGTAAATGATGGTATTTATTAAAAGCTGGTTTGTATATTACCAAGTTTAAACATAGATATACATTTTTAACAATATTGCTTAGCCCAACTGAACAGTGGTATTAATGTCAGATACACAGAGTAAAAAAGATTGAAAAAGTCAGCCTGTACAAACCCTGTACTTCTCTCCATGAGTGGAGTAAGCGATGAGATGAGTAACCTTGGTGCTGAAGTCTTTCCGGATGGTTCCACCCATGTGATGAACCAGATTCACCAACTTCTTCTACATGGAAACAAAACAGCAAGCACAAGTTTAGCACAAAGAGGCAATTAAATGCCAAGGTGGTTTATGCTGAACAGTTTGCTCTGCCAATGACTTTTCCTCTATTGCTATTGATCTTTGTCCCACATAGTTGATTAGTCACTCTGTATACCTGAAACATTTGATTTGTATTTGAAGAGCAATTGGGTGGAAATGTGTAGCAGTAGCATTGTACCCTAATAAGCAAGGACAACATGACTTACAATGAAGCTAAATTGTGACAAATGACAGAAACATTATGACTCCAGTCCATCTGAAACTTGATCTCAGGTACATACTTCAATAGATCTTTGGGAGTAAAAGAAATAAATAACATATTGGCCTAAAATCTTTTTTCTTTTTACATAAACGCACAACTTAAACAAAGTATCTTTGTATGGATGGCCCATTGTTTTTTGGGGGAGGGGGGGGTCAACAACATAATAATGTGTAAATGCTCCCTGATAACGTTAAACTAATGCAGTCTAGGAATACAACAATCCTAGAGTTAATTCAACCTTCATGAAGATTTCAACAATCTGGTATATTTAAATGTTTTCATCAAGTGTTCAACTCTATGGACATTGGGATGGCTGTATGCTGCAGTGCTGTTGAACTGTATACTGATAGGACAAAGAGAGGCATCTCAACAACATAGCATTGAGTAATGCTTGCACCCATCTATTTAAGGAGTGAGACTTTTCTAAGCAGCAGTGTGACATGTGAAGGTGGAGAGATGTGAATGTTAATCCATCTTAATTATTTGCTCCTCCAGTCCTGGTTGGACATTAAGATGCACGAACACATGGTACAATAATTCACAACTGTTTTTTTAAGGCTTCTTCTTACATCATCCCCCTCCTGAATTGACAGTCAAAATATTTTCTGTGTTAATTAGAAAAATAAATATTAAATTCCATGTTCTATCATCACTGTGGCGTTGATGGTCTGCCCTCCCTCAGCTGTGTCTCGCACTGCTTGACTCGTGTATGGATGTGCTGGTTACCAGCCAGAAAGCTGGAAAGCCAGAAAGCCTCTTCTAAAACTCTCATCAAATCTCTGTTTGTGGAGTTTACTTTCACTCCAGTTCCTGTCTGTACCTTCAGTACTACAGCAGTATTTTACTAATCAGCATTTCCTGCTGCCGTGGATTCTTATTACCATCACCAAATTTGCTGATCATTTGGTAGCGGTGCCATTCTCCAACAAAAACACAACAGAATATGATTTGGTCAACTGACCAGTTTTAAAAGTTGGAGAAATAGTACATTGGCATGGGACTATATGAAAATCTCATGTAACAATTATCCTGGCTGAAATGATTGTGATTCACAATATTATCCAGATAATTGTCAAAATATGCTTGAAACATTTTTTTTTTCAATAAAATATACTGCAATCAATGTATAACTTTTCACTCGTGAAGATATTTACTAACATCCGGATGATGGAATTTCACCACCATCAATTTATTGTGTTTTTTTTAAATCGCAATCCATGATATAATCCCATATCGTCCCATTTCTAGTACGGGCAGAAACAGCCACTGTGAGATCATGGAGGATCCTGCTGGATTTACTGCAAACCAGCACACTTTCAGCCCATCATAAAGGCAAACAACTTGTCCCTGCTGTGCTGCGGAAAAACACACATCATGCTCGACTCTAAGAGGCTATTCACAGCATGACTCAGCGCGACCTCCACTCCACCATGGAAAACCCCTATTAGTAAATGTTCCACTACAACATGCATACCAAATGAAAGGTCATGGCAATGCATCTGGAGTGATGCTCCCCAAAAGACTAGTCTGTTGCTGAGAAAAGTTGGGTTCTTTCTACACAGAAGGATCAAGAACAAAGAAAGCGCCTAAATGATCATCCCTCCATAAGAAAAGTTGAACTTGCATAATGTTAAGTTAATATACTCACCATTTCCTCTTTGTTCCTGAAGCCGGTGAAACACAGCGACAGGTTCAACATTGTGGTGCAGTAGAGAGGACGACATGAAAACTGTAGAGGCTGCGAGGAGGGAAAAGAAAGTGACGTACAACAAAACACAGTGATACCGTTAATGTCATTTTGTCTTTGAACAATATGAGGACAACAAAGACTAAAGCACCATCTTTAAGTCGCAAGTTTGGGAGCATTTTGTTTTCCCTGTAACTTATAATGATAGGATGAGGGAGGTGGACAAAACCGGTACAGTATGTAGGCGTTGTTTAAAGAGAAAGACATACGACAACAGCACTACATCGGGCATGTCCACACATATGAAGCGCCATCATCCCGGTCTGTCAGCGACGGGGGACACTCCGGTGTGGGAAACAAAGGATTTCAAAATCTGGTTAAAGTGCTTGAGCCACACTACGAATTCTCCTCACGCACCACTTCAGTATGAAGATCGTTCCTCTATGAAAAGGAAAAGACTGACCGCTCACTTCATCACTGTGGAGTGGAGATTCATAGTCTGGTGCTGCCGACACACCCCCTCTGTGAGAGTCACACAGACACACACCTGGTGCATGTGCTGACAGAAGCAGCAGAGTGGAAGCTAGACAGGCACAATAGCAAATATCCCAGTCACCACAGAAAGGTCTACCCTCTCCCCAGACAATGGAGATATTCTCATCTTTTTTTAAGAAAAAAGATAAAGTTGTAGACCATTTCACAGTAATGGTAAACATTCCAAGTTTATTGCAGTGTATTTGAATGACATAACCTGACAGGAAGTAAACAAAGTTATCTGCTTTAAGTGTTCTTGAAGTTCTTTAATTAATAAATGGAAAGCATTCGTCTCCTCCCTTTTCTTTGCTGATCCGAAAAATGATCCAAACCGTGACTCAAGGACCGTGAGGTTTGTGATCAGTTGCACCCCTAGTATTGACCAATCATATCCACGCATTCTTTGGTTGAAAGCAGGTAAACAGTCCGTACGGAGAGCAAAAAAGGTATTGGCCGAAATGCATTCTGGGAACCCACCAGCTATCGTATAGGCCTCCTCCACCTGAAGTCTTTTCGTCTGCAGACTGATATCCAATGTGTTCAGAGGCTGCAGTGACCTTGACCACCAATATCTAACTGGTTCATCCTCGAGTCCAGGTGGACCATTTTGAATTTGAAGAAATTCCTTCATGATGAAACAAAGTTTTTGCATCATGTCCACAATTCAGTCTATACTTGGTCCCTCCCTCCCCGGGAGAGTCCAGTACATTTAAACATGAATACATACTCTACCACACCTTCAAAGTTTAGAGCAAGCTCCTGTTGCAAGATCCATTTTATGAAAGCGCTGAGGCTCGGGCTGCAGGGGTGACAAAGTTTCACGCTCTCTCTCTTGACACTTAGCTAGGCAACACATTTTTGGCACCGATTGATTAAACATGAATGGGTACTCTGTAGTACTTACGTAATTCGGTCAGTACCCTTAAAAAGGTACAGATTTCGGTAGCCAACCCGATAATAAATATGACAATAAACCTCGGTCATGGAAAATGACCTTTTAAACTATATGCTCCACAGAGGTCAACATACATAGTGACTCCAGCACATACTAGTCTTGAGGTCAGATAAATGCCTTTGGACATGGCCCGAGACCAGTTCTCCTGTTATCAACAGATTCACATCTCTATGATGTTCTGCAATGCTGTCTAACCCTGCGTGCATGTTGTTCATGTTCCACATTAGCATCCTGTGTGAAGTCTGTCAGACAGACAGCACAGCAGGAGGAGGCAGCTCCCCTTCATCACCCAGGATGTATTTTTTTGCATTCCGATTCTTCAAATCAAGGATCATCTCTGGTGGGTCCTCCCCACATGACAAACAGGCAACATATTTCTCTGAGCGAGAATTTCAGAAAGAAGCTGTAAATTCTTGGTTTGAATTCCAAGTTGAAAAGGTTTGAGAAGCCGTGCATTAGACCAAAGTGGGGAAGTTATTCAAATTAATTGAATTACTCCTTGATTACATCCTGTTGGTGAATCCAGTCCGTGACACATTTCATGCCCCAGAGAGAAAAAGATGAATCACTTACTTCCTCCTTGGCAGCACAGTGCAGCACGACGGGAGGCCCAACAATGCGGTTGTCGCGTTTGTAGAGGTAGTTGTAGTCGGGAGAATCGAAGTCTGCGAGGACGAACACCGTCTCAAAATCAGTGTTCTCTCCATCTCCCAACTCCTGGACGTCGTCCGTCAGTATGCATGGGGTGTTGATGTCCTGAAGAGGAGGAGTAAAGGAGCGGTGCATGGACCGGTAAAGGAAATCAAATTAAACAATTAATCAGCAATGAAAGGTTTGTTAGCCTCGTTAATGAGGCTGACGGTCAGGTTTTACTAATTATTAAGAAAAATATGCAAACACCAAATGTCCATGACCAAATATTTGCATTGCTTGAATGCTGACCTGGTTCCTCACTGAAATGTAAGGTACACTGTCACAACAATCAAACCATGAGAAAGTTAGTGACAGTAAGATTTTTAATGTTGTGAAACATTTTTTTCCTGCCAATGTACCAAGGTCAGCTCTCAATACAAACAGACCGACTACCCCATCATTCTACACATACAGTAGACAGCATTCTCTCCCTGTTCCACACAGAGAGCATGCTCAGTGCTGCATGAAAACAATCAGTGCTGCCCTCTCAGAAGGGACGATGTGCTACTCTCTCAATAACACAGAGCAAACTGTCGGGCTGCTCATGGGCAGCGCTGGAGGGGTGAAATGACTCGTGCTGCTTGTGAACCAGCCCATAAAACAAATGACAGGACAAAGTGAAGAGACACACAGAATTAGAATTACATTTGTTAATGTTCAGACACCTGTGTGAGTAGTTTAACATTTTAGGAAATGCACTTATTAGCTTTCTCTCTAAAAGGTGAGATGAGCAGATTAATACCAATATCATACACTAGCTTAGCATAAGACCTGAAGGCAAAACGGTGACCGTGGCTCTGTCCAGTGTTCAAAAATACTCCTGCAGCTCACTAGTGAACACGTTATGTCTTGTTACCTGCACATGAAGAAAAAAATGTATCTACAAATGTATAAGACTAATAGTCCACAGCCATGCTAGCGTGTCTGTAAGGTTGCTGCAGTCGGATGTGATGCCTTCATGGCTGTGCACAGACCAATACTTCACCATATCTGGCAACACACTTTAGACTCTACATCAAAGTCCTGCCACATCCTGACTGTGATGTGTAAAGACATGCGGTTTTCTTCGCATCTCACTCTCAAGAGAGAAAGCTAATTGACATGATCTGCAAAATGCTAAAGCTTTTCTTTAACAGGAGAGGACACTCAGAAATCAAAGCTTCAGGTGCATTGCCTTTGATCGCAGTCCAAGACCTATCTAATGGGCTCTTTTGTGTGCAAATAGATTTTCACGGGACTGCTTGCAACTTTTAACAGCTGGAAGTTGCCCATTTCCAAATGCCATGAAGCTAAATAGAAAGCCTTTTAAATGACTCCTCAGCCCCGAAACTTGAATTGACATTTGAGTGCAATCCATCTCGGTTAGAGAGTGATCAAGTTATCAAGTATGACATCACATACATTTAAATATGCACCCACAAATCAATTCCCCATCAGTGAGTTGGCCATGCACAATGATTGAGTGAGTATCCGGTGTGAATGAAGACTCATGCGCCACTTCCCCCAGTCCCCATCAAAGTGTCACACAGAGAGGCAGACGCTGTACTGTACCATATTGACTATAGATTTTATCATCATTTTCTCCTCGGCACCTGCATCGCCTTCTCTTATCTTTACCACCGGTACCTCCATTACTCTGATGGCCTGTAAAAACCAACCAGCAGGAAGCAGATGTCAAACACTGGCATTTGAGAGGAGGAGGGGACATAAAAGAGGGGAAGGACAGAGGGTCGAGAGAGGATGAGAAACAAAGAGAGATATTTGGACACAAATTCATATAAATATGCCCCACATGAAGACAAAATAGAGGATGGCGAGGAGGAGATGGGGCAGGGTCTGTGTCCTTGCAAAGTCTAAAGACAGTAACTTCAAACAAATATCAAGCGTCACAGGGGGTAGGCTGAGGGGACACATTTCTCTTAAAAATTAATATAAAAGTTCAAAGCCGTCGGGGAGGATGGAGGCAGGAAAAGACAGGGACAGAAGGGGAAGGGGACGTGAAAAAAATGTGGGGGGGGGAGAGACTCTTTTTCTGTGTGTCGCATGAGCGATGGCGGCGGGCGGTCGGGCAGGCAATTGGGAGAACTCTGATGGAGCTGTCGGCAGATGTCTTTGGATGTGGCCGCGCTGCAGATTGGCAGCGAGAAATAGATGATTTAAGCAGGAAGCCTTCACAAGTGACAGGGCTCAGGAGACCTGGGAAGGAAGTCATTCTCACAGCACTTAGTCTGCCGCCACGCCTTCAAATCACCTTCACACAGCGCTACTCACAGACTGACAACCACGCTGTTTACTGGAGCGCACACAAACACACACTGGTACACACTTAAACATCCCCCTGAACAAGTGGACACACTTTGACAGGTTATGTTTCCACAGCCTGATCAGGCGCACTTTGTTTTGTTAAAGGGAAATGTAACATTAACCCAGGGCTGTAGTGAGATAAATGTTTCTGTCTGCTCGAACGGCAAAAAGACCGATGAAGATTATACAAATTTGGATTTGGACGAACGAAGTTAGTAAAACGATTGTAAAAGAACAATTTAGGAACAAAAACCCTTCGATGTGACAACTGCTACGACCCACGTCTACCCACCAACCAATTAGAATACAACCTGAAATGACACATAAATCCCCTGCCTTACATGCAGGGCTGCTGTGGTTGACGTCAGTGAGAGCTAGTGTGTGACGATGAGTGTGAAACAGTAGCGTTATAGCTGTGAACGTAGCACTGCAGTCGTCTATGCGTCTGTGGATTAAAGTGAAGGGGGTTAGCCTCGAAGTTAGCAACATGTCTGGCTGGGCTGACCTTTAAGGAGGACCAGCTCATCTGTCTTTTCATTTTTCTTTTAACTGGTACCATTAAAATCAGTCAGAATTATTATTGTAGTTAAACGGTTACTTATTAACATCCCTACTGGTAACTTAGCAGAAATCTTCTACTAAAAACTTTGGAAAAGCAGCGTTTCATATTATCCACACAATCAGAAATGCCTCAAAAATCAGATATGCACACACACAAATACAGATGGCAACCAAAACCTAGTTGGATCCATCTTATACAGTGTGACATAGAGACACAGCACAATAAGTCCCGCCCACACAGAAAGGGAAAACAGTGTATTGTGTAAAGGAGCCTCCCTGTCTGAGAGAAATGCTTCAAAGCTGCTATGTGGTGGACGCACTACACAGGGTAATGGACGCAGACATAGGCTTTCATAAGCACTGAACTCTGGAGCCATGAGACAGACTGTTGCAAACAACTATTGTATCCAGTTGTTGTTGAGAAACTTAGAATGCATGGAGCATACTAAATAACCACAGAGGACAAGTGGGTTATCCCATGGTAGTAATTTGAGCACTCTATATTTGTAGTTTTGTCTCACTCCGGATCACCATTTGAATTCATAGGAGCAGTGAATCCAGACTACAGCTAAAGTCCTCCTGGAAGAGCAAGCACATTAGTTAGAGACATCTTCTCTGAACCACTTACAATAAGAAAATAGCTCATATTAAAAAACACAGGACGTCTCCTTTAAAGACTGAGTGAAATATACTGCGATAGTATTTTCTGCTTTATTTTGGTATCTATAAATGGCTGCGCCTTGTCTTCCTGCTCCGGGCTCGACTGTCCCGAGTGAGTCAGGGGTCACCCTACCAGTCTTAAAACACCTACCCCTTCTCATTTACCATGCTTTGTGGGCGGGACTTTTTTGTTGTTTCATCAACATTCTTATCCATACAACCAAACTGTTGTTTACAACATATTAAGCACAATGTTTTGTTAACAAGAGCATTAAGTTCTTCATAGAACTAGCCTCATACTTTTGCTCTCAAAGGGCACCAGATTAATTCATTCATTAACTATGAAATGTACAACATTTCAGGTAATATGTCATCATCTGGTGAAAAGTCCTTTGTTTTTTTCATATTGCATTACAAGGTACATTGAAGGAAAAATAGATAGAATATTTTTTTCCAATGTCATGCAGCACTAATTTGACCATGTTTTAGTTTCCTATATTATGCACGGAGGAAAAAAAGAAAATTTGATTTGCCACCAAGCTTGACAACCTTGATAATTCATTTTTTTAGCCATATTGCCCATCCAGGTCAATCCCTTCATGATTTGATTAAATACCTCCAAAACAGAATCCTGCCTGCATTTTGTATTTACTTGGAAATATGTCACATTACAGAAGCTAAAGATGCTCCAACTGCCTTTTCACTGAGCCTTTAACAATTTGAGAAATTAATTTTCTTAATGTTGTCATGAGTGCACAAGTGACAATATCTAAGACCAGAAACAGTTTTCCAGATATAACATAAATAAGTACCCAACAAAGAGCAATATAAAAAACATACATACAAACATACAATGTTTTTAACTTTGGAAATGAAAACAAGCTTCTAATTTTATGTGAACTCATGATGCTGAACAAAATGTCACAACACAGTGAATCAACAAGGCCACAATGAAAGGGAATAGAGATCTCTTCTTAGTCCCCATCAGCTACCTTTTGGACGTATTGTATTTGAAATAAAAGGACACTACAGTCTGGAGAAGAAAACTAAACTGCGCCTTGGTCTCACTTGGCCTTACAGACGGACAGCTGAGGGATGATCACTCTCAGAGCAGCGATGGTTTCAGAAGCAAGGACACTTTAGGGACGGATACAGAAGGACCAAAGCTGTGCACTGAATCACAGGCACAAATAAATACAGCCAGTGGAGATCACAAACCTAACATTGTATTACTACAGACCAGCTCAAATGACTAAACATCACCGGAGGCAGCTCACATCAGCAGCCACTAATTGATGATAGTTCTGTTAGTAATGAGAGCTAAAATTAACGTGTCCTTTCTGGTGCTCTGTGTAGCCAGTGTGTGCTCTCTGCAGGGAGGGAAGCTCCATTCTGTAACAACACTGTACAATCGAGTGCGTTTGTATTCACGACAAGTCCAACAGAGTGAAACGTCTTCTCTTTAGCGACCTGGAGAATTTCAGAAGTCACATTCTACGAAATAAACTTTCATTCATATCATTTAAGCTTAGTAGACACCGTGGCCAGCAACGTCAGGATGATCAGTCAGACGAACTGACCTGAGAGCTCCAACACAAGCTGACAAAACTTCAATATGCGAGAAACCCTTTACCCCAATGGAGGATATTATCCGAACTACAGCTGCATGAGACAGCGTTTCGGCATCAACAGTACAATGTGTGCATGCGCAATAGTCACATCGCAGGACGTGCGTTGTCAAGTCAGGCAAAATGGGTCCAAGCAGTCTGAGGGGGATTCAACTAGACAGGTCAGGAGACGGCTACTTCATGTGAGAGGATCCATCCTGGGAGTTCTCCCTGGCGCTGACTGGCATTCACAGGGCGCATTTCCTCCATGGCGGAGTGCCGGGACCAGTTCCAAGTCAGCTTAAAAAGGGCCCGGGGTTCAGGTGCCGGCTCAGGCTGAGAGCTTTAAATTCTTCCATGACCAAATAATAGATGTAAACCAGAGGTCAGATTTCCATTTCCATAATACTGTGTTGGTGTCCTGCCTGCTATAATTAGATTGATTAATCTCCTTATTCATCAAGATTATGAGCAAACTGGAGGCGATCATTTTCTCTTGTTACGCACGCACAGACGCGTCGTCTAAGATGAGTGGAGTTGTGTAGTGAGCTGATAATCTCTAACGGGCTGCTCTGCTGGTCAGGGAACAGAGAATGGTCTGTGATACAAACACACAGCCAGCAGCTGTTAACAAAAACCACTAGTCACTCATTTCAATGCACATGCTACACTTTAATACTATGGGCTGCGAAGGCTCTTCAGGCTGTCAAATATAGGAACCCGGACTTCTTTATTACCATGCCTTATCTACACAGACAGACAGGCAGGCGTGTGTGTGTGTGTGTGCGCGCTTTAAGGTGAACTCATTTGCATTGCCTGCTGTAGTGCAGAATAATCTGTTATTTAAATGTTAAATAACAATGTGGTAAAATCATAAATCTTTGAAATCAACCTTTTATAATCAGTACTGCAACTGATCAGTGATCAGTGCGGTATTATATTTTCAATAGTGTTATCAAATTTGAAACGATACCCAGCCCTAGCTCCCACATGATCATATATGGACTACTACTACTACTGCGTCTCATACAGACACTAATGGGTGCTTGGTACATCGTATCAGGTGCAGAGGACCTCCTGCTCAGTGTCATTGTCAGTTCCTGCAGGATGGTTACATTCAGTTTGGTGGCTAACTTTAAATTCATCATATTTGGGACTGTGTTTCCTGAAGGGTACATCAGGCTAGTGTGTGGTGGTTCTTTGCAACTCCTGTGTGTGTGTGTGTGTGTGTGTGTGTGTGACAGATTTTAATAAAGTGTCTGCGCACTTCTCCCTTAAATAAAAACTCTCGGATACACTTCTTGACAATATTATTGAATAAAAAATTAAGCTGTCTCTTTTTCACAAAACAAGTCTCCAAGTACGAGTGGCAATTAACCAAGCCACTCAGAGGGGTAAGCCTCTGCATGTAGCAGCTCTATAAACACCAAAGCACAACACTATAACAATGCAATCCATGTCATCTTGAGAAACTAGCAAGAATACACCAGATTTAAAAAACAATATCCAACTGAAAACCCCAGCCCAGTGTTGCGAACTCTTTTCCAATAAAGGTAGCTAGCAGAACTAGCTCTAGAGTTGCAAAATATAGGGAGAAAGTTGCCCGGTGGTCAACACTGACAGCCCATTCCTTCAGGCCTTCCTGTAAAGAGACTCCCACAAAATTATCATAATGAACGTAAAACACCAAAATGGCTTCTGTTAGTACCGACCCTTCCTTTATCAAGAATCTATAATGTCTGGGTGGAATTATTTTCAACTGGAAATTAAAAGAAGCCTTATAGTCATTAGCTATACTGTTTATAGCAATGGTTTATGGGGCAGTCATAATTGTTACATTGAAAACAATAAAGGTTTCAATTGAAATTTGTATTTGTGTTTAGTGAGATCACAGTGACCTTTGACCTTGAGTCCAGGTGGACATGTGTGCCAAATATGAAGAAATTCCCTCTTGGTGTTTCTGAGATATTGCTTAACGAGAGTTTACCAGACGTAGGTAAGTATGTACGTTAGTGGTGAGTGGAAAACTACTTTTACCACCATCACCGGTATCGTTCGGCAACAACATGGATTTTGCAATACTGTCTTTATTGTGATAAAAACACACGTTTTGGTTGTAACTAGGCTACATATTCTGAATCAATCATATTACATTATGGGGCAGAATAGTCCTCCCAAAACACATGGAGGTAAATACCTCATTTTCATTCTTATTTGGAGCCAATAAACATATCTGTTTTTTGTATACTTTGTGTAAGTTTAAGCTTGCATTGTCAATAGAGTGAAAAAATAAATGTATGAGCTTATATCAGATTATTTATGTCACTATATCTGATTGCATTTCAGAAATTATTGCTAGACCTTGTGACAGCAAGATACACTGCTATGAACTGCAGAAATCATGAACATGCAATTCCATTTCTATGATGTTGGGGAAAACATCTTAATGGACTTCGCTCTGCTGCCTCGGGGCGATAGGTTGCCCCGTCGCTCAGAGGTCCCTGCGGCCGATCGACCCGGTCACGGCTGTTTCCTGTCCTGGCCCCACAATGGTAGAATGAACTCCCCACTGACGTCAGGACAGCAGAGTCGCTGCCCACCTTACGGCGCAGGCCGAAAACTCACCTCTTCAAGAAGGCCTACCCTGAGCCTTCCACTCAGCACTTATTGTTGGAATGCTGTTAATCTTTATTCAACTTCTTCAACTTCTATTTCTTCCGTACGTTTTTTGAAACTCTTCTTCTTCATTTTGTAAGCTACAGAAACCGTTCAACTATCAAAATGTTCAGCTCTTTCAGCTCATGGGTGCTATATCTCTTCATATTTATAATCTTTAAACTTTTTGAATTATTAAGCTTTTTGCAATTTTTTTTTGAATGGGATGTCTATGGAGAATATTTTTAAATCCTCTTAAACTTTTTCAACTTTCAAATCCTTCTACTTCCTCATACTTTCAGCTACAGACACCATTTTAACTTTCAAATTTTGAGAAAATCCTGATCTATTGCCGCATAATTCAGCTTTTTGATATCTTTTACACTTTTTGAACTGTAGCAATTGAACTTTTATGTTTTTTCAGCCCTTTTCTGACTATAATGGGTGTGTATTGCGCAGCTTAGAGTGTGTGATGTCACCGCTAGAGTGAAGAGCAGCTTGAGATTCTTGTGAAAAAAAACATTTGTCTTTTGCCACTGTGTCCACAATCTTCACTCTTCATGAATAATTTTCGGATGTAAAAGTAGCTAATCTTGTCCTGGTCGTAGACAAATGACTGTGGAATCCCACAGATTTACACATTTGGCTCAAGGAGCCGCAGAGCGACATGAACTCCAACAAACTGCTCCATTAGACTCCATGTTAAATCCGACCACTCATTTCTCAAAGAAAGGAGACGGTACCAGTTTTGTCTATTGCGCTGCAGCTCACATTTTTAACACCACAAACATAAAAAACACATCTCCGCGTTCGGCAGAGTCTTATCTTTCTCACGGTATCCATATTTTGGCACTCAGACTCCTGCTTTTTGTTAAAAGGGGCTTTGTTCAAAATCACTGTTTACTGTAATGTTTCTTAATCAGTCTGCCTCTAACACCAGGTGCGTCATCACCATGGCAACCAGTTACACACGCACGCAGGCTCTCTCTCTCTCTCTCTCTCTCTCTCTCATACAGTCATTCAGGTCTTAGAGATTATAAGAGGATTTTCCACCCCCCACCCCATTTCAAAATAAAAGCCCCAGAGAGTGAACTCTACCTGAAATGCTTGTGATGAAGCCTGTCATTTAATAACCTCTGTTTATGTGTGTCAAACATTATGATTATGTCTCTTCTCCCCCACCCAGCCCCACCCTTTCAAAATAAAAGCCCCACAGAGTGAAATCTAACTGGAATGCTTTTGATGAAGACTCATTTAATAACCTCTGTGTTTCATACATTCTGATTCTGTCTCCTCTCTCCCCCACCCAGCCCAACTCTTTCAAAATAAAAGCCTCATGGATTAACTGTATTTAAACGTTAAACTCAGAATTAGGCTTTTTTGTTGAAAAACGTAATGCTCTGACTAATACTGCGACAACTACTACTGCTGCTGCTAATATAGTATTACTACTACTACTACTACTTCTACTATAACTTTTGCTGTTGCTACTATTACTACTACTACTACTACTGCTACCATCAATATTATTACTACCACCACTGCTATTACTACCACTACTACCATTACTTATACAACAACTGCTACTACTACTATTCATGCTACTACAAGTAGTATTACTACTACGGCTATTAGTACAACTGCTACAAGTACTACTACTGCTGCTTCTTCTACTGCCATTACTATTACTACAACTACAACTTCTACTACAAATATCACCACTGATGAAATTTTTTAAGCCACAGAAACCATTCGAATATCAAAATGTTCAGCTCTTTCAGTAGAGGGGTGATATGACTTTTCATAGTTGTAATCTTTAAACTTTTTGAATTATTAAGCTTTTTGCAATTTTTTTTAATTGGATATCTATTTTCAGCAATGTTTTTGCAATTAATTTCAGATTTCAGCATTCCAACGCATTTTCAGCATGAAATGCATTTTCTAGTTGTATTAGTTTGTTGCACTTATTGTATTCTTATTAGTTTGTTTCTGCACTGTACTTCTGCTCTGGTTTATGCTCTTAAATGCTTGTTTAAAAAAGGAGATGCACTTATGACTTCTGGTGACTAGTAGTTCTCTTAAATACCTATGTTGAATACACTTATTGTAAGTAGCTTTGGATAAAAGCATCTGCTAAATCAGTGATTCTCAACTGGTGGGTCGCGGACCCGTTTTCAGTGGGTCGCGAGCCTTTGCCTGACCAAAAAAAAAAAAAAATGTTGCGATTTTATTTTGAAGGGCATTTTCTATGCAGCGGAATTATTCCAGCATTTACGGCACTTGTTCAGCGGTGCAGGAAAAACACCGACCAATGCGTTGTGAATCACATCACGTGATGCAGCTCAGCCAATCAAATATGGTTTGATTGGCTGAGCTTCTGACAAGTTTCCTGACTTGAGTGAGATGTACACACACCGTGACACACGGGGGAGAGACGAGGATATAAATAGCAGAGCAGGACTATTGAAGTTAGAGTTGTGCAAGTCAAATCATAGGACAATCTCCAAAAGAGAGAAATGGCCAGAGAGACCAGAGTCATTCGACTCCGACTGGACAGACTCATATAGGTGAATTCTTCCAACACCAATTTCTCTTTTTGGAAGATGAGAAAAAATATAATATTGTGGCTTTATCACTTCATCCTGAATGAACTGAATTTAAAGCTGCAGGGCAATTCAGTGAAAATAATTTTTCTAAAATGAATTTTGTTACGCAATTTCTTTTTTAATCCAGCCTTTATTTTACTTGAAATGAGTAGAACATTTATTCATGTATTTCTATGTATTATTTATAATCCATCCAGTTACATTTGAAAAATGAGAATAATATTTGTTAAAATATAATTGATGTGTACTTTCTTTATTTGATTTGGCAGTTGTTCACTACACAGAGACGTTACTACTACTAGAATTCTAATATATAATTTGGGTCATGGGTCGCGGCTTGTCATTAAGTGGTGATGGTGGGTCCCGCAGCCAGACCAGTTGAGAACAACTGTGCTAAATGACGGTAATGTAATGCAACATCCATGAGGGATTTTCACATTACGTGCTGCTTCAGATGCATCGCCCACCTGAGACAACACTGAAGAGTTGACAAACAAAAAAGTTCTCATCTGTGGACAGTTTCAACCCAGAAGCATAAGGAAGTGTCCCACTTCACGAACAGAGAACAGCGGCGATGTTGACAAGCTCAGATGGTGGAGGCCAGTGGACCTTCAGGATTAATAGAGGAAGGATGTACCTGCAGTGCTTTGACCAGCGCTCCATTTCTGCCTGCTGCTCCCACAAGAACAACCCTCGTCTCCACTTTTGGCAGCATATCTGAGAGAGATGAAGAGCAACAGATAGACAGAGTGAACAAGGTGGAAAAGGGAAAGGAAGGACACACACACACACACACACACACACACACACACACACACACACACA